GGTATAGCCTTAAAAACAGTAAATTCTCTTAGAAGAAAGTGCGTTAATTTATAATTTAACCTTTGGAGGACTGGAGGCCCCCCCTTTAGGGACTTTGAACCGTTTTAGTTAATTTTTAATTATTTTAACAATATCTAATGATATTTAGTTAAAAAAACAAAAAATAAGAGATGTCATTTCTTTCCGGACCGGAGGCTCCTTTAGGGACTCGACAGTGGCGTCACCTTTTTCGCCACTCAACCAGGTTTGGGAAATTTAACGCTGCGAGGGGTTTCTTACATTTCCTACGTATAAAACGTATAATACGTACAAAACGTATAAAACATCGTTAAAATTTTAAAACACATCTCACATAAATAATGAAATACAACACAGTGAGCACTGGTGAGCACTGCATAATTGGACCACTGGACCAATTAATATTCATCTTAAATTTGTGATTTTGATTTACATATCTTTTTATTAGTCCAACAGTTCTATACTAGGCTTATAGTGATATATGGGCTACGTTCCAAAATTGACTGCCTGTACTGAAAATCTATAGTGCATGTAACGTAAACTGTCGCATTTTCAGTAAATTTGAAATACAGCCATGGTATTCTTAGGTCTGCTCGCGTTGCTTTCACTTTTTCTACTTAACAACTTCACTTTCACTCTTTTCAACGCCCAAATATATATCTATTTCATTTTAAGTTCAAAAATTTGAGGATTTCAAGCAACGCGAACACTGCGAAGTGCCAACGGTGAAACACCATTTTACTACATGGCTGAAACCTACGATGTATTATACATAGTTTAACATCCATGTATGAAACCATATATAATACGTTGAATTTGATACGTGCCCAACTCTGCACTGAACCCCATGACATTAGGTCTGTTCTTTTTGGCTGAACTTTTGCATCTTTTTTCCTTTTCTCTCCAGAAGGAAAGAAGAGGAAGAAAGATGAACTGATGCAAAAGTTCAGCCAAAACGAAACAGGCCTATTGATAAAAAAGTTCTAGCCCTTAAAATAAAAAAGTCGATTAAAAACATGCCGGTCCTCAGAAGGTTAAATATGTTGAAAGCAAATTCTCTTGATTTTTTCCACAACTAATTCATATTTCGCTATTATAAACGCGCATAATTATCACTATTTTTAATGACAATGAAAGTATACGCATTTTACACTATGTTTGCGCATTACGAATACATATATATACAGGGTGTTAAAAAAATTCCATTCAGCATTTATATGGTAGATGGTACACACTGAATAAAAACCTTAGTGAACATACGTCGACAACTCAACCGTTTCTGAGATATAAATATTTTTGTATGTTAGCATCATGAATGACTTACTTGCTATATTTACAGAACAGTGTTTCACATGTCCTCCTTCCATTTCCATACATGCTTAGCATATGAAGTAGGGAAATTGAATGAGGACATATAGAACGCAGTTCATAAACACTGAGATAAACATCGCATGCGACACGTAAAAGCCAGTAAGTCATTTCATGATGCTAACATACAAAAATATTTATATCTCAGAAACGGTTGAGCTTTCGACCTATGTTTACTAAGGTTTTTTTACTCACAATGTCAGTATGGTGTGTATTATCATATAAATGTTGAATGGTTTTTTTGACACCCTGTATAGACTACATGTGTTTGTGTAGAAAATTGTTTAATCGTAATTATATGATTTTCTAGTGCGATCCGATTTTCTTATGCTCATTGATATTTTGTTTCTTTATCGAGACAAGTCAGTACAAAATTTCATCGTAGCAAATAATCCCTGTCACTAATCAATACGGATACTAACATCGACGATTAAAAGTTCGCATCACTTACCGGAATAATTTCAATGGCGATGGTTGAGCGACTTCGAATTTAAACACATCGGCCAGGACCCAACGGTCCGTTGACAAACACGACGGTTGCGATCTCGATAAATATCGGCGTCGCATTCCGATAAATATCATATTCGACTTCGATAAATACCAGGCATGGTTAATCGACGCTTGCCGGAATTAAAAGCTTATTGATTATTGAAATGTAATTCCCGCCTCGATGATACTCGTTCACCCATTATTCTTCATCTACGTAACTAACGATCAGTCGTCCTTGACTTGCATAGCACTAGGATAGCACGACGAATGTTTGCAAGCTTATCGTTCGAAGTGGCTGTTATCACGCGATCGAATTCAAATTAATCGGATAATAATTTGACACGTGCGTCGTCTACATCTCGATTTTGCGACGTAATATTGTTTTGTTTCCATTTTTATTGATAATAATTAGAATGATGTATAATATATTGCTTATAGTACTAATTAAGTACTACTTAAAATTTGTCAGTTTACTATATGATCAACTTTTTTTTAGAATTAATTTGTATTTATTTTGAATCAACCTTTTGCTAGAAAATTTGCGACGCATTAGATATGATAATAGATGTCTTACGCTGAGAAGAGTTTCGTGAATTATATTCTAGTTATATAAATAGAGAGAGAGAGGAGAGAGAGAGAGAGAGAGAGAGAGAGAGAGAGAGAGAGGAATAAAACCTAAATATCAGTTTCTTATTTGACGTTTTTGTCTCGAATATAATCATATATTTCCTGAACACGTATTTTTTATTTTCTATTTAATTGTAAAAAAATTTGCTCGCAAGTTATTAGTCGCGAAAATTCAAATATAGTACAGCAAATTTTTTACGAGTGTTCAACGCGGCCAATTAGATCTTGTCGATTCTTACTTTAGGAATATAACGTATATCTGAGCCATGATCAGAAGCTACCCAGAGCGCGCGCTATAATCGTCCTGAACAGGCCGGAAGCTATTTCCGCCCCAATTTACAATCCAGTAAATACCAGGGAACTAGCACCAAATACCACCGCACCCAGTCTCAGACAATAGCTGGTTGCTCCGTCTGTGATATATATGAGTCCCATTGTTATTGTTTCGTTGCGAAATATGTACTAAATGCGCGATGATTGACTACCGATTTCATGGAATGGAATATTTATTTGCCGACGTGGACATTTCAAGGCCACAACATCAAGAATCAAGTGATAAATCATTGCTAATAAAACTAACTTTTTCGAAGACAGATGCTCTTGGTTAAGTATACAGAATGATGATTGGCAGAAGAAAGGATTAACATGAATGAATCATATGTAGACATATCTATTCTGAAAGATAAGAATGGAGATGTCATCACTGAATCCTTTCCTACTGAGATGTTAGTTATTGCCACCATTTCGAAATTTAATCGACATGACCTCACAAAATTGACCGTGACAGTAAGCAACACGATGTCGTGCGACAAAGTACATATTAGGCACTGCTTACTTTTCGCGTTTCAATTGAAAAAAAATGATTCCGAGGCGAAGGAAATGATTTGTTTGGCATTAGGAGAGAATGCTATATCCTATAGTACGTGTAAAAAGTGGTCCCATAAGTTTCGAGATGAAAATTTTAATCTCGAAGATGACGAACGACCTAGACAATCAAAGAAGTTCGAAGATGATGATTTGGAGCAGTTATTGGCAGAAAACCCATGCTAGTTCGAATCTAAACTTGCTTCAGCATTAAAAGTAACTCAGCCAGCCATTTCTATTCGGTTGCGAAAGCTGAGAAAAATTCAAAAAGAAGGCCGTTGGATTCCACACGTTCTTTCTGTAGATAACAAAGCGAGACGCTATGATACGGCTCTGTCTTTGCTTTCTCGATTTAAAAAGGACTTTCTACACAAAATAGTGATGGGAGATGAAAAATGGGTATATTACGATAACCCAAAAAGACGAAAATCATGGGTGAACCTTCGATATCGATCACGAAATCCAATATTCGATTTTATCGAATGGGGATCCGCCAGCTCACTGAAAGATGGAAGAAATATGTCGATTTTAGTGGAGATTACTTTCCTGACTGAAGCATAATTTCATTCTATGTGAGTAAACCTTAATTTTCACTAAAAAAAGGTCAAGAATTAATTTATACACCTAATAGATATGTATATGCGGCTGCATGATAAAATTCTGTAGACAGATCGGCATTGAATTGTTCGTTACATGTTGGTTTTCGCGGAACGTGCACGAGTGCAGGAGCAGAAATTACTTTTTTCATGCATCAATTAAGTTTTATCGCGTGCACAAAATCTAAAAATTTTTTTTTCTTTATAATGAAGGTATAATGTATTATCATAATGTTTTAATGATTATCTGCGTTGATGGTTTGCACATTTCGGTTGATTTTTATCTAGGACATTTTAAAAAAGGAGGTCATTTCAAAAGAGTGACGTTTCAAAATAATAACAAAATTATGAAAAAATTACAGATTATTCTAAATCACATTTAAAAATAATATGATAAATTTGGTGACAGTTTACTATCTAGATCATAAGTTATTTTAATAAATAATAGTATTTTTTAAATATATATCTGTGCTCTAATAAAAATGTATGGAAATGTATTGTAAAATGAACGACAAAAACTCAACTTTTTAATATAAGTACATTGTGTATTCAAGATTATTTATGTAAAGTTGTATTGCGATGCATAAACTAATTGTTCAATAAATAAACAAAATATTAATTTGCTCTATATCTTTGTAACTACTCAGTGAATTACAATGAAACTTTGCATAAGTTTTGAATATTTAAAGAATTAACAAAAAAATTTTGTTATTACGTTTAAAATTTTAATTTTTAATAAAAATAATGACAAATAAAATGAACAGACGACAAAAATGTGTTATTAAATAAAAGTATAATCTTATTCACACAACTTTCATATGTATGTAGTTTATTTCAAGTATAAATATTAAATACATTTTTAAATTTAATTTCCTTTGCAGGGACTGTAGATACATCCTTAATTCTAATCGTATTATTGTTTTATTTATATATTGACAATCATATTACATATTGTGTTTAGGAAAATCTTAAGAAAGCTTATTTATTTTTAAATTAAAATTATTCAGTAGTTTACTTGTAATTTATTTAAAAGGTCCATAAATCCACAAATTTATTTCCTGTAAGATATTCACACATAACTTGAAATTATTCTTTCATTATGAAAGAAAATGTATTTCAAATATGGCCGTATATATATAATTAGGGATGCACGGGATCATAAAATTACCGGATATCCGGACAGAATGTAAAATCGGATATCCGGTATCCGATCGGATATCCGAGAAGGCAATTTCTTCGAGTCGGATATCCGACATTTTCCGACTGGATTCCGGGAAAATGTCTAAAAAAAATTTGTAGAGGAAAAATTGTAATTTTGCAACAATATATAAGATATTATAGCATTACGAATATGCATATTTATTTCTAGAACATTTGTGTAATAAAAAATCAACAATAATATAAAATTTCAACCGGATATATTCTCGAATACTATCCGACTGATATCCGATTATCCGGTCGGATAGTAAAAAAACTTCCGGATAATACCGAATATCGGATACTTTGTGGATATCCGGTGCATCCTTAGTCATAATATACAATAAAAATTAAAAATGTGGAGATACCTTATTAATTGCAAGAAGCAAAACACTTTGTATTATTTTCTATCTCTGCAATGGGCATTGAGAAAACACGGAAATTTACCTCGTTGGTATTAAATGTATTATTAAAAAAGAATAATTTATAGATGTGTATTTGATATCTATTTGATAAGGCCAATAATTCACCATGTCTAATCTTCATCCCGCTTACAAATTCCATTTTTGGATCATATGCAACGAGCTCCTTAGAAACAATATTATTTACGATAATAAAAATGTAATGCTGAGAGTAATGCTAATTATTGTTAACAATAATCGTAGAGTTATAAATAATTTATAAAATAATTTGGTAGTAAAGAATAATTATATTAGTATATCTTACCTTGTTTTTGGAATTAATTTCCTTAGTTGCGTCTGCGCACATAATAGACGTTTTTGTAATATCACTGAAAAATATTCCACATCTATCAGAAGTTATCGCAAGTGTTTGGCCTCCTAATGCGCTCGCCAATTGAGTTTCTTCATTAACTTGATTAATATCCTTTGGCGAACATTCTATTAAGTTCGACATTTTTGTCTTATACATTTTGTTTCCCGCGAAAGGAACATAGTATAAATCTAAAATTTACAATGAAAGTGTTAACAGTTACAAAAAATCAAGCAGAACCTGCTGACGAAATCAAATGGCAGAAACTCAGCAGAATCTGCGCTAAATCGAGTAGATAGCTGTTTTGTAACTATTTAAATGATGTCATTAGTATTAAAAGATCTTTAAAACCTCGGGAAAAATGTTTTATATATAATTACATAAAATTATTATATATAAAATTATATGTAATTTTATATAGTTGTATATAAATGAACATATTGTCTATATAATTGTATGTAATTATATATATTATATTTATGTAATTTATATATAATTTTATATGATTATATATAAAATATTTTTTCTCGGGAATGATGGCGTTTCTATCTCTCTTTTTATTTTTATTTTAATGATTCTAAACATAACAAGAAAAATAAATAATAAAAAAAAAAGTGATAAATAAACATATTAAATTTTTGTCAGATTTATAGCAGCAATTTAATATTGGCTGTCTACAGCAGAGAAAACTAATCAGTTAGCGCTTAGATTTGATTCTTTAATACGATTGGTTCCTACACTTAGATTTAGCGAAGAACTAAAAGCAAGAACCAATCATATTAAAGAATCTAAGCGCTAACTAAGCGCTAATTGATTAATTTTCTCTGGTGAACACAGTCATTGTCAGATATCATAAATTTTATGTGAAATTTAATGCCTTTTCCACATCAGAAACTTATAGTAGACTGTACTAAAAATCTTTCTTTAGATTTAGCTATCTGGAAATATTCTTTTCTGGTTAAAAAGAAAACAAATACCTTCTCCAATAATTGTTATGCCGTAGGTAGAATCCGAAAGAGGATATCGCTTGTTTGCTATCATGACATCAACATCAGTCTGTCTCATAAAATCAGATTCGAATCTGCATAACTTTGAAGTATATCCATTATATACTATTAAGCCAACACCTTCCACGTCTCCCATGAATACCTGATTATTGCGATTTTATTAATACAATATTATATTTGCATATTTATTTAAAATACCTGTTTCTCTCTCTCTCTCTCTCTCTCTCTCTCTATCGATTTCTTGTACTAAACAATTTTTCTTAAATTAAATAGGTAATACTAACAATCGCATTATCTTTCACATTTTGGCAATCCGCGTTAGAAACAGCAATTGTAGATATTAATCCATAGTTAGTTTTATTATGAGCAATGTTAAACGGAACAATAACACGTTTAACCAATTTATCAGTTGATAAATCGAAGATTAGTAGCTGCGGTAAGCATAGTTGGTTCTCCCCAATCCTTCCACCATCCACAACGAATAGATGATTGCATATAATCTGAGATGGTAAAAATATGCAAATTGTTTTGTATTCTATTCTTACAGGGGCGTTTTTAACATCGATGCAACTGGTACGACGCACCGACGGGCTCCAGGATCCGTGGGCCTCCGTAAGCCTCGGGATCCGCGGGCTCCTCTAGGTTCCGGTGCGTGGTAAACATATATGAATTTGCTACGATATTACAGATCTATGCTATATAGGAATTGCCTTGAATGCCTTGACTTAATGCCCAGGCTCCCTCTCTTTTTTTTTTTGCATCGAAGCTTTAGCAGCCTTAAAAACGCCACTGTATTCTTATTACATAAATTATTGGAAATTCAATATAAGTGTTAACAATATCCACCATACTGTTGGTCTTAAACGCAACAGTCGGATGTGTAAATCGTTACTTAGATAAAAGATATTAATACTAACTTCTACTTGATAAACACCGCCTGTAATTCCTTCACAATTATCTTTATACCAAGACCAATCTGGATATGGACGTAGAAGAGGTCCACCCTCTCCTTGTTTATCAGATACTGTCATCACACCAAGTGGTACGCCATTGTCTCTCGTCGCAGTAACGAATACTCTACCATCTATAAGAAGTTTGTTTGAAAATGCAACTTATGTTAGATATATTAGATATATTTATCGTGAATATATATATATATTCATATATTATATATTATAATTTTATTATATATATTACATATATGTATTACAATTTTATTACAATAGTAGTAATTTGTTGTATTAGTAATATCAAAATCATATGATCAAACTTAGAGCGTGATGACATTTGATACAACAGTGATAAAGAAATCTATAAAGAATATCCGTATAAAGAATTATTACAAAATAATGAATAATGCCAACTTACCATCCGCCCTATCTACATCGAATAAAAAACCTTCTTTAGGATCGTATTTGCCGAAGTATAGCGCTTCTTTTTTTTGTTGCGGATTGTCCCAGAGAATATCTATGTATGTCCATTCGTAATTAAGAAGCAATTTACCGAAACTCATAATTATCATCGACAGAAGTGATATAGCAAGCAAAAAATGTTTCATTTTTTCGTACTATATAGTCAGGTATATGCGCAATAATATATATAGCTAAACTGAGCTATAAAAAATACGTATTTCGTGGAAGCGGATACGTGAATGAGACTTATTTTGGCAAGTATTTATGATATATTCACATTATAATGCATATGAAAATTCAAAACTATTTCCTTATTTAGCTTATCTGATAAACAATTGCAACCTAATTGTAAGTTGAATGAACTCAGAATTGTTGATACTTACATTCATTGCATAAGAGATACACACATTATATCTAATGCATTTACATATGTATTCCTTCACTTATTCTAGTCATTGATAATATATCTAGAACATTTTGTGAATATATATGTATAATCAGTTGATATAATTATTACACATAATATATGTATAGAATATGATATATTTTATCAAATAGCATAATAAATTAGAGGATTTCACGGTTTAATTCGTTTCTATATATTTTTATTAACCATCAGAAGACACGTGTCTCGCGCTAAGACCACGCGCAGCAATATGTCAGCGCGAGACCGGCTGTGTATCTTTACTCAAACCGTCGAGATTTTCCAGATCGCGACTATGGGATTTCAATAAGGACTGAACCGATCAAATATTAAGTAGGCTCAATTGATAGCTTCTGCCTGAAATATATAATGAAAATGCCTTTATTTTTTCTCTGCGTGCCCTACGACTGGAGATATTTACGAAGTTTTGATGTTTGCAACTTTCGCGATTTTAAGAAATGTCGTCATCATCGTCGGATATTCCTTACGTATCCTTTTGATATTTTTTGCGCAAAGGGTGCTAGCGATACATGATCGGCGAGCGCTGCGATCTATATGGTAGTAAAGCTCTAGGTATATTAAAGTAGCGCAAAGGTCCTCCATTTTTGACTTATTAACCATATCATATATCAATAATACTAAGCGCTTATTGGACTATAGACAACTAGATCGAAAATGACTGTCGAAATAGTCAATAGGAAAGTTGTCGGTATTTCGGCTCAGATAAAAGGATTGCGCTACTTTGGTATATCTAGAATTTTATACAATAGTGTCTTGATCGATTCAAAACAACAGGATCGGTAAAGTTGGTCTAACAAGGGAACGGTCGGAACTGTTTCTCCAATTTTGATGAGCTTTGGATATGTTGAAGAGCATCATAAAATATTATATATATATATATATAGACCCATATTTTTTTATAGCTGCATATCTCGAGGTTTAGGAGGTGATACATCGCCTCGAAAATAATGGATCTTTTCGTTTTCAGCTCGAATATCTTGGAAACTATGCCACATATAAAAAAAATGTTTTATACAAAAGTTTTATAGTATTTTATACTCTGTATAACTGCGTGTTTACTTTTTAAAAGTCAAATTTTTTAACTTATCCTCCACCCTCACTCATTAGGTTGCAAAATTTAAAAAATTCTTCAGAACAAAAATTGAAGAGCATCGAATGCTTAATTCATTCATGTATAAAAGTGTTGCGGTTCCACGATTAAATTTTTCAGAAAACGAGATAATAAT